TTTGTCATTTTCAGAAAAATACGTGGAACTGGAGTTGATGTTATGTGTAACAAGCCAGTTCCCCAGAAGCACAGAAAAGTTGATGGGACTAAACATAAAAGCATGGGGAAGTGGGGGCATTAGTCACGCGAGAAAGACCTAATCAGAGCAGATGGGAATGACCCGCATGCAGGATCTGCATGTGTGGAAATGTTACAGTGAATTTCCTTATTCTGTACATTCAGTAGCAACTACATTTTTTTAATAGGAAAAGGAAACCAAAGTAAGAAATAACAAATATTTTTTAAAAGATAAATGGGAAATATTAATGGATACAAATGAAAATGAGCACAAATCAAACCCAAAACAAAAATTAGTTAAATAAAAATTTGTAAGTTAACCCCTCTGGGTGAGAATAAGACCACTACCATAATTTTGATTCAAATTTGAAGCAAACTTTAATTAAATACTGGCCAGGATGATGGACACTGGCAAGTCCATTCTGGGGTTCCCGGAAAGTGGTCACCAGTCAGTTAGCCAGGTGATTATAAAAGCTAACCCACAGGCTACATACTTTCCACCTTTGTCTGGTTGGGGGCAAGAATACATCCCGATGTTCTTCCTGCCTCCCTGGGATCAAGCGCATCTGGTGCATTCGGGGCACCGAATTTCTTTTAGGGAAGTGCAAATATACTTATTACCATATATGAACAACAACCTCTAGCATCTCAGGACGGATCTGTCCTTGGGCAAGCATCCTACAGGTTAGAGGCCATTTTTGTTCCGTGGATCTCTTAGGCACAGTATTTAAAATTTAAAGCATATCTTTGGCTCTCACAAAACCTGAATATGAAACTCATGAGCCAAAATCACCAAACTAGGAAACAAACTTATTGTGTTGAGGTCAAAAGAGGTCGGCAATGTCCATTTCTAGAGATCAATAACTTCCAACTTCTTCCAGTTCCAGTGTTGAAATCCAACCACTTTCCAGCTGTCCAACACCTTTGCAGCAATGTAAGCACAAAAACCGCCGCCCAGACAGCACCTCCATGGGCAGGTGCTGATAACCCCTCACAGTTGCCCTTTGGAAGATCACAGCGAGGAACACTCCAGTCACAGCTGGGTACAACCCAAAGTAGTTTTCCCTCGCTTTCTGTCCCTGGAGATTTTATTAATTCCTTTTCACAGAGATGTAACCAAATGTCTGACAAGAAGCAACTGAAGGCAGGAAGGGTTCATTTTGGACCAAGATTTCAGGAAAAGGCATGGTGGTTGTCTGGTCCATGAGACTGTTCTTCAATGACAGGTTCCTGATAGAGAGTGGACCAAGGGATGAGAAAGAGAACGTAAGAAAGCGGGCACTGGGGAGGTCTTGCATAAGCAATGTCTTACACCAAGTTAAGTTAAGCACAGTATCTGAAACTACCTGGCTTCTTTACATGACTGGCAGTTACATAGGGTCTGTAGCTATGGCTTCTTTCCATGACTGGCAGTTATGTAGGGTCTGTAGTTACGGCTTCTTTACATGACAGATAGCCTTTTTAAATGGTGTCCTCCTTTACCGTTCCACCATTATGAACAGATTATGCATTTTACTGATTGTCTTAAAACCATTTTTTTTATTGATTCAATCTTTTAACTTTAAATTTGTTGCTTCTACTCCTATTTTCTTTGTTCTGCTTCCTGGTTTATCATGTTGTATTTTTCCAATTTCACTGCATGAACACTTTAATTTTTTTCTTTCTAAGGCAGACATTAACCACCACTTATTTCCCTATTATCAATGATTTATCTGGCTCACAGTCATTCAGTTCTAATTCTTCATTTTCCTTGAGTTTACCTTTTAATTCGTGCACTATTTAGAAGCATACATTTTAATTCCCACATTTTGCAAATTTTAAAAGTCTTAGAATGTTCTCCCCATTCATGACTTTACATATTGAAGCTTACATATTGTGCTGTGCAGCAGAATATGAATGCTTTCTGATACTCTGTACGTCTCTGAATACCACTAGAGCAACAGGTACTGGTTCCCCCTGCTTTGCACTTTTAGAACAACCAGAAGAGAAAGTCTTATATCCATGACTCCATATGCCAGAGGCCTGCTTTCTGGAGGCACTCACAGAGACTGAAGGGGGAAGTTTGTGGATGCTCAGTGTACAGTGAATTCTGAGACAGCACCCAGGGATCCAAGAACACTAGCATCAGTACCCAGCCAGAGCAGTAGAACGAAAACAAGGGAGATGTTCCAGCACGTTCTTGGAATGACAGCACCACACCCAGTGTAATGTGCTGTGCTGGTTAGTGTTTTGTCAAACTGATGCAAGGCATCTGGGAAGAGGAACCTGAGCCGAGAAGATGCCTCCATCCGATTGGCCTGTAGGCAAGTCTGGAGACATTTTCCTGATTAACGATAGATGTGGGAGGGCTCAGACCACTGTGGGCTGGGCTATCTCTGGGAAGGTGGTTTGCATGAAAGGAAGGCTGAGCTAGCAATGAAGGACAAGGCAGTCAGCAGCATTCCTCTCAAGCCTGTGCTTCGATTTCTGCCTCCGGTTTCCTGTCTTGAGCTCCTGCCCTGACTTCCCTGCATAATGAAATATAATCCATAGGATGGAATAAACCCTTTCCTCCCCAAGATGCCTTTGTTCACGGTGTTTATCACGGGAGTAGAAAGGTGACTAAAACTCTTGACTCGTGTGTTTTCTGACTCTGGGGTTCTCCTTCAGCACATGATGAAGAACTGGCATGCAGGATTGGACCAGTGGGCTAAAAGGAGAGACTAACTCTTCTTGATTCATTCCTCTTCTTGTCCTTATTGGGATTTTATTCCTGTCCTCATGAGGGAGAGGTCACTGTTGTTAAGTGTCAGATTTCATCCTCATGTGCTTTTAAAACACATGTGTGTGTGAGAACATGACTGTTGGGGCAAATAAAGACCAAAGACACACCAAGGAAGGACTATGGCATGAAGGGTGGATGAGAATCAGAAATGAACCACTGATGAGTGCTGTCTTAACCACTGTAAATAGTTAATTTAATGATTAAATGATGCCAAAGTTCACAGGTTTGTGCAAAAAGCATCTTCTGTGATGTCACAGCTGAGGATTCAGAAAATGACTCAGAGTCTTGGCACAGAGCCAATACAAGTTGAGGCTTAAGAAAACCCCATGAGGGGGCTGGAGAGATGGCTCAGTGGTTAAGAGCATCGCCTGCTCTTCCAAAGGTCCTGAGTTCAATTCCCAGCAACCACATGGTGGCTCACAACCATCTGTAATGAGGTCTGGTGCCCTCTTCTGGCCTGGAGACATACACGCAAAACAGAATATTGTATACATAATAAATAAATATTTAAAAAAAAAAAAGAAAACCCCATGAACTAGCCCAGGGCCTACACCAAGTCATCTCCTACATTAGCCTCCTCTGAGCCCCATTTCTGATGTAGCCAAGGGTTGACTTATATGTGAACACATCCAGGCTAGCTGATGGGGCAGCCTGGCTAGGAGTCCATGAACAAGGGCCTCTTGCATCCCTCCCAGTGCACCTAGGCCTGAATAACTTCCTTCATCTGTGAATTAGAATGTGAAGCTACAGTCTTGGCTTAGAGGCATAGGCCCATAATCTCAGCCACAAGATAGTGGTGGCATTTCAATGCATTGAATTCAAGGCCTACTAGCACAACTTAGGAAGACCCTGCCTCAAAAAGCAAAAGAATCTGGGGATATAGTTTGGAAGTGTAATGCTGGCCTAGCATACAGAGGTCTTCTGTTCAATTCCCAATAAAGAAAACAAATGAATGGATCTACAAAAGAGAGTCCACAGGAACAGGCTTCTCCTGTCCAGGGCATGCCCTTTCAGAGAGCATCGCATTTGCAACATGTAAGATGGGAGCTGGCTAATGGCCCCTCCAAATGTCAGGCCTTTCCCCCAAACTACCCACTCAAGAAGGCCCTGGCTAGCTGAGGGCTAGATTGATCTTGCCAGCCATGTCTTTAGGGGAGCAGCAAGTACTGCGAAAGAAAAAATGCAATCACAGGCTAATTCTAGAAACTGGGTAATGGTCCACAGGGATGAAGACTGGGAAGGCTTTTGAGCACACAGATAATAATAACATGTTCTTACAAGCAGAGAGACTTTATGAGGAGTGAGAACCCCAGGGGCTGTTAGTCTGCATTCTCCTAGGATCCGTGGATAAATCTGGAAGACCTGGGCCTGCCCCTATGCACCCCCCCCCCCCCCCCAGCACGGCATCTCCAGGTTTTCCCTCATGATCTCCTTCCACAGAGCAACACAGGTGTCAGAATGAAAGTAACAGCCTGTGGAAATTTGAAAGGAAATGGCCTCCAAAGGGAGTGGCATATTAGGAGGTATGGCCTTGTTGGAGGAAGTATGTCACTGTGGAGGTGGGCTTTGAGGTCTCATATATACACACTCAGGCCACACCCAGTGAGACAGTTCACTTCCTGTTGCCTGCAGATCAAGATATAAAACTCTCAACTCCTTCTCCAGCACCACGTTTGCCTCCATGCCACCATGTTCCGCCATGACGATAATGGATTGGACCTCTGAACTGCAAGCGAGCCAATTAATTCTTTTCCTGTAGAAGAGTTGCTGCGGTCATGGTGTCTCTTCACAGCAGTAGAAACCCTAAGACACAGCCACAGCCCTAACACCATTTTCAACAAAACTACTTTTATTCACCATAGCTTACAAACTTCTAAAGTGATAATTCCCTCCCACTCCTTGCCCCACCCCTCAGTCCTGCCTTTACTGCCCAGCGCCTCTAACCTTCTAGTGCTACCCTTTGCACCAGCTAGATCAGTCCTGAGTGAGCAGGAGCTGGATTCTTTTCTATTGCTTCCTTTTCGTGGGGTTACCCTTTGCACCAGCTAGATCAGTCCTGAGTGAGCAGGAGCTGGATTCTTTTCTATTGCTTCCTTTTCGTGGGGGGAGGTCAGGGGCTGCAGGGTAGAGGCCGAGTGAAACCTCTGCTGGCTTTGAAGGGTCACCACACAGGTGGCTCAGTGCCGGTTCTTCCTCTTCCTCTTCCGGGTGCCTAGTGACTCGTGCTTCCTCTTCTGAGCCTGCAATGGTTGAGCTAGCTCGAGGGCTGAGAGTGCCCCTTCAAACACCCCGTGACCAGGCCCTGGGTCGGATCTTTTAGCCATGGGAGTCAAGCCTCCAATGAGAGCTCGCTTCTTTGACTTGGCAATTAGAGATGGATCTGGGCTGAAGCCCCTTATCTTTGGAGATGAGGGTTCGGGGATACTGTCCGAGTCAGAGAAATCTGCATAGGGGAACAAGTGGCTAGCCAGTTTCCATGGCACCAGGTTGTACTGGGAGCAGAGGAGGAAGGACAGACTGTGGAGCTCTTCTTTGTCATCGGTGGTTCTGCCCAGGGACTCATGGAGCTCCTCAGTGGCAGGAACTTCTCTGAGGTTCACTCCACTTCTGGACCCTGGGCTTTGGGGGTAGGCATCTTTATCACAGGTAGTAACGGTGGATCTGATGTCTACCGGTGAGGGTAAACATTGGCTACCTGGGAGGACGGAAGGCCTAGGCCCCCATATTTTTGCATTGGTGTCTTCAGGACACTGTTGGTCTAAGAAAGCCATTTGTGAGGAATCTTTTTGTGCACTGGCCTCTCTTTGGGTACCATGGCCATCTTTCTCTGCACCTTGGCTGACAGACAGTTCAGAAGCATTGGCAAGTATCTGAGAGGCATCTTGGTTCAGAGGTGTCGCCTTCCAGCCTTTCTTCTTCAAAGTCTCCAGCAGCTGCAGGAGGAAGTGAGCACATGAGACCCAGGCCAGACTGGAAGGATTAGAGGGTGGCACATTTGGGTGCAGGTGGCCAAGGGGAGAGTCAGGGACTGCGGGTCTGCTGGCTGTCATGCCACGCTCCTTGCAGCTGTGCACTTCACCCCACCCCTACCCTCGTGTTCATACCTGCATCCCCTTCTGCCCTGACTTCCTGTATGTCAGGGTGAGTCAAGGTCACATGATTCTTATGAACAGGGTCCTCTCTTTCCCTGTCCACTTGGTTCCCTCAGCATCCCACTCTCTTTGGGGTCCTCCCTTCCCTGCTCATGTTTGCCTAGTGTCTCTCTGTATCCTGCCTGCCTGGTAGCTGCTTGCCTCTTGCCTACTTCCTGCTGCTTCCCCTTTGTCCTTAGTGCTCACCCTTCCCTGCCTACCTGCTTAACAGTGACCTCTTCCTCATACTCCAGCACCTTCATGAGAGCCAGTATGTCCATCTCTGGTTTGGAGGATAGGATTTCTGCCACAAATTGGGGGTTTATTATGGCCTCCACCTATAAACGGAAGGGAAAGGACTTGAGTGCCTGGAGGCGGGGTATCTGCAAGCCAAAGGGACCTCTGTCTTGCCCTGTGTTGCTACCAAGTCGTGATGACAACCAACATTTACACACACACACACACACACACACACACACACACACACACGAGAGAGAGAGAGACAGAGACAGAGAGAGACAGAGAGAGACAGGGACAGAGAGAGACAGAGAGGGAGAGACAGAGGCACACAGAGAGACAGACAGACAGACAGACAGACATAGAGAGAGCTCTGAAGACAGGGAAGCAGGCTCAGTTACAAGGACTGGGAAACCCATACTAGGGCTCCAGATGCAACTCACTTGCTCAACGAAGTGTTTCTGGGAACATAGCTCGTCAATGTAGCTCAGGAGTCCTGCATCTGAGTGCAAGTCATCCTTCTGCTCTGGCCCACTGCTCTCCTCCTCCTCCTTTTCAATGGGCTCTCTCGTGAGCGGCTGTGGGAGCCTCTCCAGCCAGTCCATGATGTCCATGTACTCCTGCACTGCCTCAGGTGGAATTTCTACGGGTGCCTCGGTCTTGCTTAATTGCCTGTCTCTGGGTCCTGGGAGATGGACCGGGTCAGCTCTGGGGACAGTCTTCATGGAGCTGCACACTAGGAGATAGGAGAGCATGATGATCCATGAGTGGGGTTTAGTTTCACCCAAGCCAAGCCATGCAGAGCAGAGCTCAGTGGAACTGCAATGGCGTAGGGGAAGCCAACACAGTGTTCCCTAAAGATCTCTGAGAAGGGACGGTGCAAAGGGTAATATGTCTAGGACTGTCATATGGGAGAGTATTTGGAGCCCCCAGTGTTTCAGGTACTCTTCATACTCAGCGTCCAGGTCCTGATCATACGGGGTTTGGGTCCTTAGGGAGACGAGGACAGAGAGGAGCAATGATCATGACCAGTTCAATGATTACCCAATTCAAGACTAAGGGCTGCAAGGGACCCCAGGCTACATAGCAAATGTAGCAACCTACATGTGGAGCAAAAGTCTATTTTGACTGATCTGACCTCAGCATAGAGACCTAAAGCTACGTGAGCCCTACCTGGTTCCTCAACCACCTCGGGAGCTGATGGCCTTGGTGGATCTTGCCTTGCTGTGGTTGTAAGAAATTGACACTGGACATTTCTCATTATTTCCAGCCTTGAGGCCTCCATCTCCAGCCTTGCATTCTCCATCTCTTCTGCACTCTCGAATTCTGAGAACCTAGGGATAAAGGAGGCCAGGGCCCAGCACAGGAGATTACTAAAGGTGGTCATTTACGCAAGGTCTTGGGATGGTCTGGTACACTTCCATGAAGTTGCTGGTCTTGGAACATAACCACAGCTCTGGGGCACACTATAGCCCTTGGTATTTGTAGGGAATCAAGTCAGTCCGAGATGGCCCAAGCAGGGCTTTCAGGTGTCTTCTCCTTAAGGCCTGTCCTGACCTTGCCTAGAGCCACAGAGGAGAGCTGATTGGGAAGTGGGCCGTGGATATGACTTATGGGGTACATCAGGATCCTGGACCAGATCCAGAGATGCTGACATTGAGACTGGGAGAGCTGGAGTGACCTGGGAGGCAGGCGCCCAGGAGATGTCAGGAGAAAGTAGAAGGAAAGCTGAGAGGTGTGACTGCTTCCCTCTGAGAGCTGTTTGTTGGCTTGTGTGCACAACAGCATCACGTGGAGCAGAGGTAGAAAGACTGTCCTCAGAGTGTGTAAGAGGCCTCCGTTCTCTCTGCCTTCTTCTATTTATATCCACCCCAGATATATAAGGCTACAGCCGAGGCCACTCTCTTGAGACACAGTGGTCTCTGCTGTTTGAAAAGCAGTGTCAATGCTAGGCATTTGGCCTAAGACTGGGGAGTGTGTTTGCTTTGCATAACCCACAGTGCTGGAGGAGACCTTACAGGGCTGGGCTGGGCCACTTTTCCTACTCTGACCCTCAAAAGAAAAGTGGGAATAGACTTATGATGTCAGAATTCATGGGACCGTAAGATAGCCCATCATTCCAGGACGTGAGGATAACATTCTCGACGAGGGGCCCAAGTGTTAGGTAATCCTCCTGCCAGGGCATGGGTAACAAACTTACCAGACCCAGCTGTAGCCCCCCCCCCCTCGCCACCACATACCCTCCTCAAGGCTTCAGAATCAACAGACCCACCCACGTTTAACAGCTCCCCACATACTCTGCTTCAAGATTCCCTTGACTCACTTTTCGGCCATCTCAAAGAAGATCATCCGGTCATAGTTGCTTGTACACTGCCATTCCTGCAGACCCCTCCACAGGCCCTCCTCCACAGTCATGGTGGGCTTTCTCCGGGCCAGGGACCGAAGCACCGGACTGTAATTCATTAGAACCACATAACCTGGTCATTGGCTTGCACTCCAGACCCCGCAACCCAGCCCAAGATAGATTCTATAGCCTAATGGCACTATAAGGTCAGCTTCCAGGAATGCCTAACCCTGCGACAAACATCAACACAAAGATCTACGTATGCTCCCCTGGCTGCCCTGTGCACTCTGTGTGTGTGGAGGAATGAATGGGGGTTAGGCTCCCAACATGGAAGTACAGGCGACAAAGTCAAAGAGAAAATCATTAGAAATGGGACCTTGGGTGGCGGTAGCCAGGTTTAGGTTATGATGTGGGACTCCCAGGATTGGACAGTGCTCTTTTTGGAAGGGAGAAGAGATCCTCCCGCCTCCAAATTTTCTTTTAGTCCTGTGAGACAACCATGAACAATATCAGAACTGGCTCTTCAAGGTCCTGTCTGAAGACAGTGTCCAGAACTGTGAAAATACAGTGTCTGTGGTTTGAGTCGTCTAGTCTGCCTGGCCATGTTGCCGAGCTGATGGCCGAGATGCCCAGAATGGCCTGGAACCCTGGGTTAATGACTGGGGCCATGATGCAGATAACTGCTGAGGATCAAAATGGAGCAAGGAGACCAAAGATTTCCCCCGGACGGGTGGAGAGCCTTCCTGGCCCAAGGGAATTTCCCCAGAACAATGGGTTGGGGAGAAATGTCTAGGTCTTTCTGGAATCTGGCTCTCTTCCCTTATCCCAGTTGTGGTGTGCTGTGGGCACTAAACACTGAGGTCAGTGGTAGAAGATAAAAGTTAAGGAGAAGGGCTACCACGTGGGGCGAAAGGTCTAAATCCAAGCCCTAGACCTGGGGCTGACTCCAGGAGGGTGTAGTTTTCTGGGGTGGCCCTAGCTCCTCCAGCACCTTCCTCATCCAGGCACCATGACACTCACATGAGGAAGCAGGAGAAAGCCGCCACGTCAGGAGTCTGGGACAGGTGCCGTTGCACCAGAGTCTTGAGAAGCTGCCAGCGCCGGAAGTTCCCATAGACACTGTCTGGTTTGGACAAGTATTCTGGGGAGTTGGATTGGACGTTGGCTGGGCCACTCTGCCCATATGCTCCTTTTGGAGGTGGTGCTGAGTTCACTGGGGACCTGACAGAAACCAGCTGGACAACTGGCTGTGTGGTGGGAGGGTGAGGACCCAGGACCCACGTTCCATCTTGAGACTGAACAGCCGAAGCAATTGGAGTATTTATGAAGGTGTTTGCAGCAGGCGTTGACATGAAGAGGGAAGCAGGGTGCCCCATACTCCCACCTTGGGCCCCAGGGACATTACAGTTGAGGGGCACCTGAGTGAGGACAATATTGGCATTGTGCACAGGCTGGACAGGCCTGACTGGTGCCCCAACTTGTACAATGTTCAGAGGTACCACTGTTCCCAGGGCAGTGCTTCCATCTTCTGCCACCAAAGACATCCCAGGCAAGGTAGATAGCACTAGAGGGTTCCTGGGAGAGATGCCTACAGTCATGAGAGGTGCTGGGGGCTCCCAGAATAACTGGGGTGCTGGTTGGGGCGCAGGTGGGAGAACAGGCAGGGTAGCAAATGTAGGCATGGAGGCAACGGGGTTCACAGTCATGTTCTGTCCCAGCGAAGTTGCTGTGAAGATAAAGGAGACAGTGGATGAAGGGGGAAGGGGCACAGGTGGGGGACCCCCTGGTCCTGGTAGTCAGTGGAAATCAGGGGAGGTCATGGGGAGAGGATTGCACTGTTTGCAGATGTTCCCAAGGGAATTCCCTGCTGGGTTCATCTAGCCAAGCACAGTTCCAGCAGGGATCTTCCTTCCGTTCAGCAAGATTCCCTGATTGCTGTCTGTGGAGAGGAGCCCTTAGCTTTCCCACCTCTGAGAGGCTCTTCAGGAATCCCTGGCAGAAAACTCGTCAGTGTCTAGCTCTCTTCCCAGAGATGGACCAGTTTGACTTGGTCTGGACCACCATCCAAGTAATGATGCTCACAGGAAACAAGGCACCGTCAATGAGGGCCAGTTTCTAGAAGGGCCTCTGTGAAGGCTTCAAATATTTTGACCTCATCCCTGTCTGAGGGTTCCTTCCACATTCTGAAACCTCCCTCTCTTTCTAGTCCAGCACAACAAACCAAAACACCTCTATACAATCTTCCATGCCAGCACCCTGGAATCCTGGAGGTGATGCTATAGCGTGTCCTACCCATGTTGCCGCTCCCTCTCCTAATGTCTCCCCCAGGAAACAGCAATGGGGTAGATTCTGGCAGCCCCACACTGCCCTGACAGTCATTGGTTCCCACCATGGTTGGGAGCAGTTCCCACAGCACCGGTGTGTAAGACAGCCGTGTAATTAATTCCCTGACACTTGCCCTTGCTATCCCGGCAGTGGCTGTGGAAGGCTGTAAAAGGTCAGGGAACAGTGACTAAGGGGTTTGTCAGGAGGCTTCTGGGGTTTCCCGCAGCCACTGACATCGTCACAATTGGTCATGAAATGAAAACCACATGTGGTCGTTTTCTTGCGAGCACCGACCAACATAAAAGAACGACTACTAGGTGGCATGCGGGGTGGGGGGGGATTAGGGGAGGGTGGGACGATACAGTCATGAGCCAGATGTCAAGTGGGGTGCAGTTACTGGAACGCCTGAGAGCCCCCTCAAAGAGAGCCAAGTCCAAAAGGCCTGCACATGAGACCAGGACACACATTCTAGCTCTGTTTAACAGTTACACAGAGGGTGTTCCAAGACAAGCGCTTCTGTCTAAAGTCTCTAGGAAAGGATCCAACCACCAACGCCAACAGCCTTCCACATCCCTTCGTGTGAAAGCAGTGACAGGGAAGAGAGGCTTCCGGTTACAGTTACATGATGGGCTAACGGAACTGCACCTCTAAACTGATATTTTTTAAAAAAATATATCTAAATATTTAGTGTAATCACCCATTTCTTTGTTGACACTTCCTAACTGCTTAGGAGGAATCAAAGACATCAACTGCCTGACGGAGTAGAAGCCTTCCCTCAATGGGAAGGTGTGAGGGACTCTGGGCTGCCAGAGGATGAAATAACTCTCCATCCCCATAGAGAGGACCCCACTGAGCTGTTTCCTGCCTAGTCTGCACTGTCCTCCTTAGGTCTAGGGTGGCCCAGTTAAATTCCTGGGATCCATAATTTCACATCGCAGGTTCCATCCAGAAGCTGAGAGAAGTGACCCAGAGCTCAGGCCTTGCCCATGAACCCTCCTTGGACCACCACAGTGAACCATCCCACCACACCTATGACTTGTGCTTAGGAGACCTGCCTGCCACACAGGAAGAACCCATGTAGGACCTCTCGCTGTGTCTCCTGCTGCAGTGTGTCTCCTACAATTTAGTTCCACCAAGGGCTCTGTTCAATCTGCCATGAGTTTTGTCAGCTTCTGAGGTGATGTCCTTGCAGAAGTCCAGATCTGTCTCCTATCCCCTCCCTCCCTTGGTCTAGTCAGTCACTGCTAGTATCAAATTTAAATTGCCCATGGCAGGGAGGCAGGTCCCATACCCTCATCCTTCAGGCTTACCTTCTGAAGCTATTCCTACAGGTGTGGACAGTAACCATGCCTGTCTGATAGGATCCATGGTGAGAAAATTCAGATAAATCACACCGAGTCACCAAGATGTGGCAGATGCTCAAGAGAGCCAGCCACAACTGAGCAAAGTTTGAAAGGAAACAGCTCCAGAATGTGGCATTGAACATTCCGCAGTGGGGGAGGGGCAGAGAGTAAACAGGGCGGAGGGGGGGGGGAACATTCCGGGAGGGGTTGTGGCAGGTGCCTAAGAACCTTGGGGTCATTCAAATGATGCATCCTTGTTGGAGGTGACTGCACATACCTGGTGTTTGCCTCTAGGTAGGTTTCAAATGATGTCTTATACTCATAGCACACGGGGTCACCAATGCCTTCTTCCTTCTTTTCTTCTTCAGTAGACCTTGTTTTATTCCCTTCATCCCGAGTCATACACTCCTCCTACAGAGGGTAGGAACTTGAACATTTTTTTATCATGTTTACACTCACTCAACGAAAATAGAGGGTCTAAGCAACAGAGCAGGACATATTTGAAAATACGACCTTGGGAAATCCATGAATCTTTTTGCCATGTCCATACCATTCTTTACAAAGCAGTCCTTGTGTGTCCAGCTAGTGCAGTGCTGGGATGTCTGCACCCTCTGGCATGGGAATCTCTCTCACCTTCCCCTTCTGCTAGAAGCCCCAGCCCAACAAGGCTTAACTCAGTATATGTAGTCCACAGGACTCAACATGGAAGTCACTTCTCTTTGGATCAGTGGTATTGAGTCCTTTTATTGCAAGCAGACATTTGACAATTAAAAATCTGTTCTCTAACTAAAAAAATAATGGGTAGGCTTCTGTGACAATTGGCCCTCCTGAGCCACTCAAAGGGAACAGGGTTAAATGTGAGCTACAGGAAGAGAGAAGACATTCTTCTACTCCAAGATGGAGAGGCTTAACATTCTTAGGGCCCTGATTTTCCAGGTATAGAAACCTGTGTACATTTTGACATTGTCCAATACGGATTTCTGTGCCTGCCTCATTCCTAGCTCCAGAATCACCCCGGATTCACTAGCCGCAGGCTGCCATCTTTTTTATATGCTGGTGTCCTTGGAGCCACATTTCCTGGCTGCAGAAAAAGTCTACCTCTGACTTCAATAGAATTCACCTTAGATTTTGTTAATGTTAGGATGCTAAAGAAAAAGGCATTCACAACAAATAATGTTTGCATTTGTAGTCTGACCATTGCACAGGCTGGAGATGGCATCACGATGTATATTGGGTCAAAGACCCAAATGTTCTATACTGTGGTGAGTTGTGCCTCTTGCGTGTTGGGAGGTTAAGACACCAGTTGCAAAGACAACAAGTGCAAATTTTTAGTGACATGAAATATTTGCTATTCCATCATAAAAGACCTTTGCATTACATGATTTTCCTCCATACTAGGATAGTGTCTGAGTATAAGGTGGCTCTTGCTAGGTACAATGCTTGGAGGTTTGGTAAATAAAATATGCATTTGGCTTGTGATATTTTCTGATGGTCATACAGCATCATATCTGAAGGGGCAGATGCCTTTCTGTGTGTGGGTATGGTTGTAGCACCCTTTTAAAGAAAGCTTGTCTGGTTCCTAATTTGGTATTTTGCATTTCATTTCATCAGTGCCGTAATGCTGGGAGACAGTCGTCTCATTTTGCCTTGTGACAAGAAGGTTTGCTAGGAAATGGTCTAGAGGGGACGTGGACTTGAGAATCCAGAGAGCTGCTGCAAAAGTTGCTGGGCGCAAGCTCCACTTCCGCAGTAGGAGTCAGTAGTGTTCCCCATGTGGCAGCGATTTGGGAAAGGAAGAGAGGTTTAGAGGGACCAGGACTATCAAGTCTCAATTTAAGGTAGAATGACACCGATTTCACAGGAAATGTTTGTGAACCAACATTTATTCCAGCGCTTCTTGTGAAGTAGATTTTACTACGATGGATTTCATAGGAAGGCCTCTACAGGCAGAGTCCTAGGTAAATCGTGTCACAGAGTCTCTCCGGGGTCTGATTTTTTTTTCTTTTTCTTTTTTATATTTTGGCTAGAAGTGTTCTTTAATGCAGCTTTCAGAAAGTATGAGAGAGGGCATACTGTTCTTTGAAAGGTGCAAATGAGACAAATGCCACCCAAAGCGCTGGGTCCAGAAGGAGCCAGACCTCTTCAACAGTTTTCGGTTTGGATGCTAAGTCCCATGGGTGAAAGGTCTGCAATCCCTGGTTTTAAGACAGGATGGCCGCCCAGGTTCTGTGAGAATGCGGGGCGCGGGGAGGGAGGGGCTCAAAACGCGTTCTTTGCTCTCCCTCAAAGCTCTATGCTTCACCTGAGCGCTCCTGTTTGTGCATGCTGTTGGCGTTCTAGCGCGAGCTCCTTGCCTCCTGGACGCCCTGCATCTGTCCGTTGTGCACCTGCGCAGAAGCTAGACAAGGGCGCGAGCATGGAGGACGCAGGAGCGAGCCTGCCTCCTAACGTTTCGTGAACATGGCGGCGTCCAGTGTCCGTTACAGAGAAAGAGGTAACGGCAACTCCAACCTAACTTATTGAGCATGCGGTCGCCACTGTCGCTGCCTGTTGCTTGTGTCTTGCAGGCAGTGTGGCCCTGAATGACTGAGTGCCCTCCCGAGGCTGGCCTGGAGCCTGGGAGTTTTTACACCACTGGCATTGGCAAGTGCCCAGACCAGGGCTTCTCTCCACTGTTCTGTAGACTGTCTGGCTTTTGATGTGTGTGTTGGGGCTGGATGGGCAGAGTTAATAAAAATGAGGTGTGAACTTCGGAAGTGTCCCTCATCTGTGTCCCCTACACTTTCAGGAAGCTTCCAATGTGTCGGAAAGCATTACTCAGCAGAGCAAACGAATTTCTAATGTTAAAAAATGGGCGAACTTCTGACATGCAAACATTAATACCAGCCAGAAACACAACTTTCATGTTGTAGCTTCACTAATTGCCACTGACTTTACACAGACTTTACACAATTGGATAACTGGCCCTTTAAATTCAGCCACGCATCTCCTTTTGGACCTTAAGAGTGGCGATAATCAAGAAAAGCATTATGTGAGACTCAGATGAGTAAATGGAATTTATAACGAAGATTATTATTAAATTGTGTGACTATTATGTAACCGTGTGTGTGTGTGTGTGCGAGAGAGAGAGAGAGAGAGAGAGAGAGAGAGAGAGAGAGATATTCTGAGACTGAGAAGGTGAAAAGGTGTGTTTTGATTTCAGAAATGGGAAGTGTGAGATGACTATTCCCATGTATAATGTGGCGGTGTGCTTTTTGACCTTCTGGAGAGAGTATGTAAGATTTGCTGTATAATTTTTAGGACATAGATTGGGAATACTGTATTAATTCATAGTTTTGTATTATGAATGGTGAGAATCTAATGTGTATTCTCATGTAGGTGATGGTGTTTGTTTAGATATTTGGAATTAAGGGATTTTGATAGTTTGTGGAGCTTATTGTATTTAGACAATGTGAGATAGCATGCATGTAACCTTGGTCTTGGGGTTAGGTATTTGCAATTTGATTTGGGGAATATTTTATCTCTTTTTCCTTTTATATTTTTGCTTGTCATGGAGTTTGGGAGAAACTTGGGCAAGAAATAGGTGCCTGTGGACAATGTTAAAGAAATTGTGCATATTTATGTGACGATACAAAAGGGAGAATATTGTTGGGAAATGTAGGGTTATATGTGTATTTGGGATGCTATGGATGGCTACAGGATTTGTCTACTGTGTTTTTAGCATGTGAAGGCAGGTGTGTGGCAAGGGTTTTGTGTTGGGGGGGGGGTTGAGGATTGGATATGTACCCCTGTAGTGTCAGGTTCAAATGAGCCTACATTTGACAGGTGGAGAAGTTATTTCTTTGTGGATATTTGAAGTTTCCACTCATCACCATTTATGTAAGTGGTGAGACTGTACCTTTGGGAGCAGATATATTTGCACATTTGTAGTGTTATATAAATGTTTGATATTGGTGAGGGAGTAACTGGTATGGAGTTTGTATTCAAACCACAGTATATAAACATACATTAACTATGGTTAATGATGGTGTGTTTCTAGTGCTTGTAAGATGAACTCAGAAGTTTATACATACAGAATATTGGATAGTATGTTATAGTTGTATACATATGTTTTTGTCTATGTGTGTGAATTGTATGTATATATTACTGTACAGTAATTAGTCAATATACAGATCGTGTGTGTGTGTGTCTTTATGTCTGTTTTTGACACATGGTATAATTTTCATACATGGGAGATTAATATATTGCATTCTCTAATTTCTCTGAGTGCTTGGCTTTCAGTCCATGGGTTGGGAGCTGTGTGTATTTAGTGTCCGAGTGTATTGATGGCTCAGAGATCCTCTTTGTGCTTGTTCAGGACTGAATTCTTGAAGTAAAAGAGCTCTGACTCATGTCTCTGACTCTTAAGTGTCTCTCAAATACTCTTGTGTTGTGGGCTTTATTTTTTTAAGTTAGTCAATTTATAATTTATGTATGTGTTTCTATAAACAGGTGCATTTGTATGTGCTTGCGTGTGTGTGTGTGTGAGAGAGAGAGAGAGAGAGAGAGAGACAGAGAGAGAGAGAGAGAGAGACGGAGAGAGAGAGAGACACGGAGAGAGAGACAGAAAGAGAGAGAGACACGGAGAGAGAGAGAGAGAGAGAGAGAGAGAGAGAGAGAGAGAGAGGTTGAGTGTGAACAGGGATGACCGTCAGAATATGACTTCAGGAGCTGGTCTTCACCTTCCATGTTGAGTTACAGACTCTTTCTGCTCACTGGACCACAAGCTTCTTCACATTTTTCCATCTCTGCCTCCTACCTAGGATTGCAGGCATGCACCCTACTGCATACAGGGTTATGTGGTTTTCTTGGGCCCAGACTAAGTTCATCAGGCTTGCATAGCAATAGCCATACCCATGAAAACATCACTGCAGCCCATGTTTAAGGTTTTCTCCATACTCAGAGAAACTACTAGAAACTGGTCAAACCCTCCTGGAGGTAGAGCATAGCGGAGAGAAGTGAGGTCATCCTAAATATGCAGGTGTG